AGTGGCAGGGCCACGGGAGGTTACCGGTCCGTGCTGTAAGGCACGGACCGGCGAAGCCATCGCGTCGTGGGAGTGGGGGATGTACTTTCATTTTCGTCAGTTTCGAGACATCCCGGACGAAGGATGGGCGGGTTCTGGACTAGATCCAGAGGGGGTTGAAGGAGGTGCCTCTGTCACCAGGGGGGGGGAGAGGATGCGTAGACACCCCTCGGCTACCTACCACAGATACCGTGTCAGCTAACGCTGCTTGCCAGGCCGGTCTCATGAGAAAGTGGTCTTTCAGGAGTACTCAAGGGAAGGCGAAAATGGCGGTCGTACGCTATTAGCCAAGTTTTGTAGAGCTTCGGGAGGTATAACAGCTCTGCCTGCCATGATGTGTACAAGACATACTTATTTGCGGCCTCGGATAATTTCTAGATTAAGCGTTTTAGTTAGTATAGTTGCTTTATTTTGGATTTTGGGTTTTGAGAGTCTGTGGATTTCCACAATGGCCCTCCCTTCCCCTCCCTCAACGAGTACCACTGAGATCATCAACCCGTTGACCGATGAAGGTAAACTCAGGATTCGGGAATTGTTGTCTAAGTGTGTGCATGAGGGTGTCCTCCCTAATCGAGTGGCTCCTGGCGTGGTCGAGACTGGGGAGGACTTCGTCAGAGTCATAGTAGACGAGGAAATTTGCAGCGTCCAAAGCGATTGGCTCAAGGATCATGCGGTTAAAAGCAGACTAGTAGAGGTTAATGACGAAGCCTCGACACTTCCAGTAGAGGTTAAAAGCAGACTAGTCCGCGCTTACGAAAATGCATGGGCAGCAGCTGGGGTTCCGGCGGTGGTTCCCATCAGGGGTTTGTTCTGCAATGAAGGTAGAAACCTTGCAACTTACGTTTCATCCGTGAAACAAATCGCAGATTGGATGTTAAAAAAGGGGGAAGAAAAAGTGAAATTAGATGGGAGAATGCATGTTTTAACCTTTAAACCGTGGATGACTATCCAACAACTCAGGGATTGGAAGGAAGCCATGCGACATAAGTACTTCTGGATTCGCTGCTTGGAAGTCCCAGTGTCAGTCCTGGGTATTCTAAAAGGCGTGGTAGAAGATGTTTTTGGAACAGTAGTTAAGGATTACCCGGCTTACAAGAAGGCGTTAGAACCGGATCTCAGGGATGTCTGATTCGACCTTGATCCGGCAGCTAAGTTGTGTTATAAAAAGTATTTGAAGGTTAACCTTCGTTGTTTCGGAGAAGTCAAGATCGAGGTCATTTGCGCCGACACGCCTTGGTGCCCGGCCTGCCGTCGTCATTTTCACAAGGAAACTAACGACGAGGAAACTGACGACGACTGCCCGGTCAAAAAGCGGAAGACAGAGGTCAAGGATAAGACGGTTGTGTCAGACAAGGAAGAGGAAGAAGGGGAGACCAGGGAGAATTGGGTCAGGGTCACCAAAGAGAGGAAGAAGAGATGGGGTGTGAGGGACTCGAAGGTCACCAAGGTGAAGGGAAAGAAGGAAAAACCCCGCCCCTCTTTCAAGGAAGTGGTGAAGGGGGTCAGAGACACAGAGAATGTCAAAGGAAAGAGCGATAGGGCAAGAAAGGAACAGGAGGAGGTGGAAAGGAGGAAGTCCGATAACGATAAAAGAAGGGAAGAGGACCAGAAGAAAGAGGAGGAGAAGAGAAAGAGGTTGGAGGAAGAAAGGGTAAGGAAGGAAAAGCAGGAGGCGGAAAGGAGGAAGGCCGAAAATGATAAAAGTATGGAAGAGGAACAGAAGAAAGAGGAGGAAAAAAGAAGGAGGTCTGAGGAAGAAAGGGTTAGGATGGAAAAGGAGGAGGTGGAAAGGAGGAAGGCAAAGAACGATAAAAGAATGGAAGAGGAACAGAAGAAGGAGGAGGAAAAGAGAAAGAGGTTGGAGGAGGAAAGGCTGAAAGAGGAGGAGGTGATTAAGGCGGGCAAAAGAAAGGAGGAGCAGGCTAAGAAAAAGGCGGAAGAGGACAAAAGAAAGAAGGAGGAGGATGAGAAGGTAAAGGAATTTTTGGAAAGGAGACTGGACGAAGAAAGACTGAGGGAGGAAGAGAGGGACAAGAGGGAAAAGAGACAGGAGGAGGAGGAGAGAAAACGGGTGAAGGAAAAGTATTCTGGCAATAAGGCTTCCTCCCCCATTGTCTTCCGTGGCCCCGCTCTAAAGGACTCTCCCCCTCACCCTAAATCCAAATCGCCCCCTCAAAAAGCACCCTCGGACGATGGGTCGCCTTTGGACGATGTGGTTCCCCTACTATTGAAGAGAAAGGGGTCCTACCCGGCTAAAGATAACCCTGCAGAGGAAGAAGCTATTTGGGGGGAAGAAGGAGGGATGGCAGAAGGAGACTTGGACTTCGCCATCCCGGACCTCTTCCAGGAAGGTCAAATAAATTTTGAGAAGCGCCCTATTATGTTCCACCCGTGCAAGAAATCCCGGACGGAAGATAACACGGCTATCCCAACAATGGACGAACAGGAAGCTATCACCACAGTAGCCGGGGATCCGGTAATTTTGCCACAGGCCAAAAAGAGGACTTTACTCGTCCGCTCGTCACAGAAATCCCTGCTATTGGCCTCCCCGATGACTGCTCTGCAAAGAGAAGATCAGAACATAGGACAGATCAAAGAATTTTTAGTTCCTTAAAGTTTGATCTGTTCTGACTCACCCCAGGGCCTGTTATTTTTCACTCAGTGCTCACAGGAAGCTCTGTTGAGCATCCCTATGATCACAGTTGACGCAGCCCCTGCGGAGGAGCAGATGTTGGAGATGACAAAAAAGCAGGTTCTCAATGATTCATAACGTGTGTGACTATTCCCATCCCAAAAATGGGCAGGCACGTGGTCCCTCTACCTGACGATAGCAAAATTCTGCTAAACATTGCATTCATGGGCATCTCGTCCGTTGCCGTAGATGGGGATTCTTGGTGCCCAAAATTGGGACGGTGGCATCCGCTGCAGGACTTCATCACTCCCAACTTGGAAGCACTGTCTAACATACAACTGTCTGCAGTCGGCAACAATTATCCATGACTGGCTGATCATGAGAGACGTGATCCAAACATTCGCAGGGCATAAATTCCGTTCGTTAATTAGTACGACCGGATTTCCCCCTGTGGTTCAGAAGGTCTTCGCTGACACCCTGGTCAATCAAACGAACCAGAATAATGATGCAGTCCAATAAAGTTCGAATAGCCAGCTGGAACATAAAAGGTCTTGGGGACACATCTAATCGATATAAAAGACAACGCCTCCTCTCGTGGGTCCGCAAGAAGTCGGTACATATGTTGGGACTTCAGGAGACGAAATTAGATAGCAGTAAAACACGAGAGGGAGTGGATTGGTGGAGGGGCCCACAATTCTGGGCCCCAGCAGACGAATCGAAAGGGGGCTCAGCTATTCTAATTCATGAAAATTTCGACTGTGTAATTTTAGATTCTTACATTGATCCGGGGGGACGGTTCGTATGGGTTAAGCTGGGCATTGAGAATGAAGACTGGGGGGTTATGGCTGTATATGCATCCACAGATTTCATAGATAGAACCGAATTTCTTGCTTCTATGCCAGCATTCGTGTCAGGCACAGACAACCTAGTTATGCTGGGGGACTGGAACACGATCTTAAGTCCGGGTCTGGACTCTTCAGTGTCCTCGCCACTGAGAACAGACTCCATTTTATTGACTACTTTCTTTGATTCTCGGAGTTTAATAGATACATATAGATCCTTCTATCCTGAGGAACGGCTATACTTGGCACGGCCCAAGACCGAATCCCAGGGCTCCGATACCCAGGAGAAGGTTGGACTACATAGTAACCAGTGGTGTTCTCTGGGACAGATGTACTTCCTCAGAACTTCAGATCTCTGACCTCTCAGATCACTACCCAATCTTCATCGATGTGACCGCCAAGGATCTAGTTATCAGGGAGAGACCTCCCTTCAGGATGAATGTAAACAACCTGAAGGATAAGGGAATCCCCCTCTGGGTGTCTACTCAGATGGAAAACTGGATAGGGGCGAAGGGTCTTTTTGATGACGAGGACATGTGGGCAGACGTCGGTATTAATTATTAAGTCAGCCCTGCTGGAATTCTCTAGAATGAAAGCAGCTAACAAAACCTGGAAAGAAACTCAACTTCATAATTTAGTTTTGGAAGCTGAGGCCCAAATGGGCGGCGACCCCTTTTCTGACTATTATTGGACGGAAAAGAGGAAACAGGCCCTCACCCAATTGGAGGAGCTAGAAATACGGAATCAGACTGAGAGGTTGGAGTGGTTAAAACTCAGAGGAATTACGGGATACGACAGAATGACAAAATTGACATTTCGGTCTTTGATCCTTCGACAGACAAAGCCATTGCTAAGAGAATTAATCCACCCCTTCGCTCTGAATGCGCCAATAGCCACCGACACAGTGGACATGTGTCACTATGCCCTGGAATACTTCAGGGATATAGTTTCGACGAGACGACCATTTGATGAGTTTGACTCAGACTTGTCAGAGGTTTCTAACTTCTGGGACAGGTCAAAAGCGGTAATAAAGGCCTCTACCAGAGCTCAACTAGACGCTCCATTGACGGTGTCTGAACTCCACAGGGCGGTCAAGAGTATGGCCTCTGGGAAATGTCCCGGACAGGACGGCCTCCCAGTGGAGCTTTTTGTGATGACCTGGGCAGCTTGGGCCCCCTTCTTATGTAATATCTACAATAGGGCTCTTGGTACAGGCTCCCTCCCCAAAGGATTGGTAAAGGGGGTGATTTCCTTATTATATAAGAAAGGGGACAAGAGAGACGTTAGGAACTATAGGCCTATATCCGTTTTGAATGTGGCGTATAAAATCCTAGCTAAAGCCTTGGCTTCCCGCTTGGCGGAATTTCTTCCAGATCTGATAGGATGGGAACAAAGAGCATTTGTTAAAGGGCGTTCAATTTTTGAAAACATCCTTTCCACTGTACAGGCTCTGGAGATCATTGGTAAAGAAACCTGCGACAGATCCCTACGGGGAACTCTGAGCGATTTTTGGGGATACAAGTTTCATTGACTGATTGCTCAAGTTCCCAAGACCGCATCTTGGCAGGCAAAGTTGCCGCGAGAATAGGCAACTGGCAAAGAAACCATAAACTCTCACTCATGGGCAGGGCGTTGGTGATATCCTCCGCTGCCTTGTCAACAGTTTGGTACCCCTTCACCATTGTCAGAATGGGAGATGAGGTGTACTCTCAGATAAAAGGATATGCTGCCAAGTACCTTTGGAAACCGGATGCCAAGGAGGAGGAGGGGTACATGTCTAAGGTGGCCTGGGAAACCGCGGCTCTCCCACGCTCGGAGGGAGGACAAGGTATCCTAGACCCCCGTCACCAGAACACGGCTTTACTGGCCAAATGGCCAGTCAAAGCCATGTATGATAACCCTTCCAAACTTTGGATCCGGATGGCAGAGTATATTCTGAGCGCAGAATGGAACTTTACACGCCCAGATTTGATCTGGTTAAGTCTGTTGCTTCCCTCATTTGCCAACAGACGACCCAGATCCAGAGTCTGGAGAGATATCCTAGGCGCATGGAAAAAACTGCTCCCCCAAGAATCCAATCAGCCGGGGTCTAAGGGAGAAGTCCTCAACCAATTTCTGTTCGAAAATTTGAAGGTTTTGCAGGTTAATGGGGACACTTTTAAAGCGAGTGGTGAGCCAGGGGAGTTCGCGAGGTCTTGGGTGGAAAGGGGAGTTTTGCAAGTGAAACATATTTGGAACAAGGACATAGATGATTGGATTACTGTGGAGGACTTGTGAAGGAAACTGCCTCGCCTGCGAAACTTGGAGAGAAACCTGCAAGCTTTGACGGCAGCAATACCTCGAGGATGGTACCATATGCTAAAAGATGCAACAGAACAGGGGGAGGGAGCCTGGGTTTTCTCTGAGGAGACCCAGGGCAAGGTGTGGAGGGTATTGGGTCCAGATCTGTCGGCTGGGGTGAAGGTGGAGGAATGGAGTTTGCCTTGGACTTTATCAGGTTCCCACAAAAGCCAGGGGTCACTCGTCCGTGGAATGGAAAGGACAGTACTGACTACGAGGCATTGCGAGGAGGCTAGAGTCACTCTGAGTAGTGACGCAAAACACGCACTACTGTTGGGCCCAGCATCTCACTTTAGAGTGGAACCGACGATTAAAAGCTGGCCGCCTCCCAAACAGCATCAAGATAACGTGCCACTACCGCAGTACAGTATCAAAATAGGCACCAGAATCTTGCGTACTACGGTGGTAAAAACACCGGAACTTCAAGCCAGCAGAAGACTGGAAATAATAAAAAATGGGCCTATTGAGCAACCAAACTGGAAGGCCTTCTGGAAGGCACTATTGTGGTTACCTTCTCAGAAAGATGCTAGCCTGTTGTGGCTTCAATCACTGATGGTGGTGGCATCTGCCCTATGGCTCTTTCAGAAAGGAATGGACTTATCAATCACCTGCAAGCGATGTGAGTGGGGTTGGGAATCCAACGCCCATCTCTGGTTGTTCTGCCCACTGGCAGACGAACTATGGATATGGTGGTTAAAACATTGGGATTTAATCACTTGTCGTACCTGGCCTTGGACGGACGATTGGCTACTCTATGGCATTCCCCCTCTGCAACAGACCTCTTTAACAGAAGGATGGGGGTACGTAGCTTTGGTATGCAGAGGGATCCTCTCGCAGGAGATATGGAAAGCGAGAAATGCTCAACTCTTCAGGAGTCTGAAGGTTTCCATACAGGAACAACAAGTGCAAGTCCGAAGGGGCATAAGGCACATGCTACTGGCAGGCTGGCAGATGAGCTTCAGAAGCAGGAATAAGGGATTCCTGTGGTTTTCAAGGACTTGGGCCAGAGATAACCAATTGGCAATTGTGGCACAGGACAGAAAGCTGGTTATCGCTAGGTGGCTCAAGCCTCCCTCAAGTCAGAACTAGACTGCATCATTTTTTCGGTTTCATTGGGTTCAGGAAGGAAATAGCAGGGCCCATTTATCTTATCAGAAGAAGTGCAGCCTCGAGGGAGACTAGGCTGTGGCTTTGTAATGGTGTAGTACTCCTATCCTCTTTATAAAGAATAATATTTTGGGCTTTAAAGTTTTAATTTTTTGGAAAGTACTTTAAGCTGGGACGCTGGACCCGGTTTTCAGCAGATAGATAGAGAAAAGCAGTGCATTTATGATGGTTGCCGAGCTTGGCTCGTAAGCTATACTGGCTGAGGCTGCCAGGATAACTCCGGGTTGAATTGTGAGGTCACCGGCCTCGTCCCAATTCTTTTTGCAATCAAACTTGTAAAAAAAAAAAAAAAAAAAAAAAAAATTGATTTTAGTTCCCCCGCTTTTCTTCAGGTCCTAACGGGCGGGGCGCATTAAAAAAAAAAAAGAACAACTTGCTACTCTGTAAGTATGGGCCTCAGCATAAGGCCCATACTTCAGATGACATTGTTCTCGTTTCCGTAATAATCAAAGCCATAGGCACGGGGCCCCTTTCTTTGGAAAAACAGAGTAAGTGCATAGGCACATTACTATAATCATAGTATAATGACTTTATTTACGTATTTTCGGACGGAACTGTGGCCAGGTACATCCAGGTATGGCGTGAAATTCAATGCAGTTAGATACATGTGAGATACTGCTAGTGCAAGTACGCCCAAATAATGGTACTCTCCACGACTTGAGTTTTTTTTTTTTTTTTTTTTTTTTTTTTTTTTTTTTTTTT